TGGCAATTTCACGCCGATAGTAAGATCTAAAAGAGATAGCTGATAAACAATTAAGTTCCACTTTGAGAAGGATGATACCCAGAAGCACAAGCATATGACTACTAACACCTAAAGAAAATAAATAATTCTTGAGAATGTACATTATTAAAGAGGACAAATTACCTTAAATAAACTAATTTAACAAAACCTTAAATTTTTTTCGAAGGTTTTATTCTTTTGAGACAATGCTTTCTTCTCATTTTTCTTAGTGATATTTGCGTGGGAAGTTCTGAATGTTTAATAGCTTACCATTTGAATACTCTGAAACCTAGTTTTTAAAGAAAACCCTCCTTCAAATTCTGCCATTTTAATCTTTGCAGCTAACATATTAGCGTGGATAACTCAAGCTTTATGAGTTTTCATTGCCTAATTGTATGGATTAAACGCTTTTTTTTTTTCATGGAGTGAATTCACATTTAATACATTTTCTTTTCAATTCTCTTATTCACAGATTATCTATCATTTATTCAAGTGAGAATCATTGTATACCCTTGGATCCCCCACTCTCTAATGATGGATGATGATCCACCAAAATGTGAATTGAAGAGAAAATATATCAGGAGAGATCTAACTTCTTTTTTATGGATCTAAATTTGCTGTAATGTTTTTTTCTTCTCTATTTGATAGATCACCCACCTTGTATTCGTAAATGTCCTACTAATATATAGAATGGATTCAACTTAAATTGATGATATATCAAGTGCAAAATAGGAAAAAAAAAAAAGAAGTGGAGCAGACCTTAATTTTTTTTTCTATAGTTCGGTGGTATTTGTATGCATATAGGTGTGCATGTGTTTTTGTGTGTTAATTAACAATTGAGCAAATTATATGTTTAGATTCCCTGACCGGAAGGTAGTTTAAGTGGTAATAGAAACGAATTGTAAATTCAGATGTCTTAAGTTCGAACCTTGTAATTCCTTGAGACAAGGTCATGAGAAATTTATCCCTCACGAAAACCCTAGTCCTAGCGTAAATGATCTGTCTTTGGCCGGACTAGAGTAAGAATTAATCAAAGTGTGTATAAAGTGGTCCGAACACTACTGACGGTTGAAAAAGAAAAACTATGTTTAGATCCGCTGAACTGTATACCCCATTTCACATTGCTCTCTAAACTATCTACTTTCTCAAATTACACCTCAAGCTTTTGGTGTACGTTTCACGTTGCCCCAATTGTTTACTTTGGCCCTATTTTTCACAGTAAACCAGTGAAAAATTTGAATTCTGCCTATTTTTGTCTTGATTTGTGGTGGAATATTAGACAAATGTTAATGTTCAATTTTTGCAAAAGTTAATGCCTTTCCTTCTTCAAAAGTTAATGTTTGGAGCAACATGAAATTCAAACTAAGAATTTAATGTGCAATGTCAGAAAAGAGATAGTTTAAGGGACAATGTGAAGCAAGGGGTAAAGTTAAAGAGGTTTAAATGTAATTTACCCTTATTTATTATTGAGCTAAACTTAATGTACATGAGTGAAAATGCAGCTCATCAAGAAGCACTCAAGAAGGAAATAGAGAGACTGAGGCAAGTGTATTACCAACAGAACCTAAATAAGATGGACAATGCTACACCACCTCAATCACAGCCACAATCATCTGTCTCCGATGTCAAGGGTCCAATGGAGAAGGAACAACTTGTTAACTGAGAAAGTGAGAAAAGCAAGTTGGACTTCTGCTTTAGGATGAAAAGGATTAAGAAGATTACGTTCTGCTTTGTATGTGTGTGCTTAATGTAATATTTTTATCAGTTCATCATTTTTTTCTTTTATTTTTTTTCAAGTAAAATCTCCATGAGAAAAAAAATAATATTCTAGGAGGGGCAAGGGATAGAGAGTTGGTATTGGGATGTATGAAAGAAGGGATTGTCGGGGACTTGTTTTGATGTCTGCAGGTTTGTGCTAACTTTTTCAGTGTCGTTGGTTCCTTGGGTGTGTTATCGTTTATTTGTTTGAAGTTCTTTCAAGTAGGGGGGAGCAAGTGTAAATATAATTTGTTTCTTTATTGTTGTAAGTAGTGACATTACATTGGGACCTTCAATAGTGAGCATTTTGGCTGATTAATTAATGGTGGAGGCTATAAAATATGATGTTGTGGCAATCCCAACCTGACCAAGGCAACTTTAGCTCCATATGTAGCTTATTTTTTTCCTTTAAAAAAAAAAAACTTTATTTGGATATCAAATAGTGACCTTATTTATTAACCTAATTAATTATGATTATTGAATTAATAGTGGGTCCTATAAAATGCTGGGACTTAATGTTAAATCAATGACAATGATTGATTAAATCAATTAGTTAGGTCAATATTTTAGATCCAAGTAACATTATTCTTAAAAAAATGCTTGTTGCAGCTTGGTGTAACTGCAATTGTGGAGATGGCTATTGAATTGTATTACTTGTATATTGTTGTGGTATACCATGGACATATGGAGGATAGCAACCTAAAATCAATGCGAAGTAAGCGAGTTAAGATTGATTAGTTCTTAACACAAATTCGAAAATAGCACAATCAACTATACAACTAATAAACGAGTCGAGTTAATATCAAAGATGAATAATATAAATTTAATATAATAAATACGTTTAATTAATATTAAATAAATAAAATGCCTAATTTTTGTCATTTTGATTGGGCATTGACATGAAAATTAATAAAATGAGATTTTTTTTCTTATTTGTACCATTACTAGTAATACACTATGTGTGTAGCATGTGCAGTGGCGGAGCCACATGAGGACNATTTTTTTTTATAAATACTAATATTTATATAAAGAGAATAAATAATTAGAACAGATGCTAGTTGATAATTTGGAGATTCAAACACGTAAGAATATGATGGTAATTTAGATATTTAACAATGCAAAGATAGAATGATTTTTACAATTTTTTATAAAGGTAAAATAGTAAATCAAAATTTTTCATGTTAAGTTTCTTTTATTTGAAAAATTAAAAATTTTGAAATTCATTTGATTAAAATTCTACTTATAATTCATTGATTAAAATACTTCTATTAATAATATGGATATAGATATATATTTAGTGGATCTTTAGTTAATAAAAAAACTATGAGTCATTAGTTGGAAAATAATGGGTCTTAGTCTTAGTTTTTTTATTCGTATGTTATACGGGTCAATCAAAACACAAGACGATAATAAATAGGTGGGGTTAGTGTTAGTACATCTAACACAATTAACTAAATGAGTTGAATTTAAATTATACCCGACACAAACTTGAAATGATACAACACAAACACAACTCAATTGTGATATATAGTTAGAATTTTGTTTAATTTAATTGTCAAAACTGATTTCGTGCAATCAAATTCCTCTAACTTATTCATATGACCACTCCCACCACTATTACCCCAGTAAATTCTCATTTGAATTTTTGTTTGAAAAATAAACAAAACATATTATAATAGATAATTTATAATTATATAAAAATTAGATGCAGTGAGATGGAGATTTGAGGAGTACTTTCTCTTAATATCTCAATCAAATATGGCGGGATGGAGATTCCTTAACACTTTTTATTTGTTGAGGAAAATAAAACGTTTGTGTCACATGTCTTGAAGGAAATCTAAATCATTGATAATCATAGTTTTCTCTTGTACTTCGGTGACCAATTTAAGGGTCTTGGGTGCCCAATTAGTCGTAAGGATCCTCTTTCTCATTTTGGTTGAGCATTGCATTTTCTTGAAGTCAATAATAAGGGTTGTGTCAATGTTTTGGTGTGTTTATTTGGTACACATTGATCCAATCTTTCATTAAAGCTCAATAAATTTTTTGGCTAGACCTTTCGAAGAAGAATTTGTTGAGCGCCTTCTATCGAAATTGACGCTTTTAAATTGCAACGATTATCTTTTCAATATATAGTATATATAACCAGCTGATTTAAAAAGGAAAACACACAGGTTCTTGCTACAAATATGAACAAGCAAGAGTGGGACCGCAAACCATAGGAATAAGCTATGGAATTATTTACATAGGCAGTCANTGCAAAAGTTAATGCCTTTCCTTCTTCAAAAGTTAATGTTTGGAGCAACATGAAATTCAAACTAAGAATTTAATGTGCAATGTCAGAAAAGAGATAGTTTAAGGGACAATGTGAAGCAAGGGGTAAAGTTAAAGAGGTTTAAATGTAATTTACCCTTATTTATTATTGAGCTAAACTTAATGTACATGAGTGAAAATGCAGCTCATCAAGAAGCACTCAAGAAGGAAATAGAGAGACTGAGGCAAGTGTATTACCAACAGAACCTNCGTAACCAACAGCAGCAACACCATGGTCTAACTCAGTGCCACACTCCCCTGTAAAGACACCTCTCCAGTAGAATTGAAAATCTGATTCTCCAGCATCAATGGCAACCGAGACTGGTTGATTAGCAACAGATTTCAACAATGCACTCCCACTATTGGCAGGCACATCTTTGTACCCGGTTATCTTGGCTGCATGGTTTGCTTCTTTGGTGGTGCTGCAAGTTCCATCAGTTCCCTCGTAGGGATAATTAGCTTCGGTAGCAAGGCCATGATTTTTTTGGATGAATGTGAAAGCATCGTCCATGAGACCACCCTCACAGCCTTGATCTTCACTAGTGTCACTGTCGATCAACTCTTGCTCTGATAGAGACAGTAGCTTACCTGTTTTTAGTTTAGTAATTCCTTCTGTAGCCGCCACAGCCGAAAATGCCCAACAAGATCCTATATTNTTAGTTTAGTAATTCCTTCTGTAGCTGCCACAGCCGAAAATGCCCAACAAGATCCTATATTTTGATATTGGATAAGAGTCAGAAAATATACGAGGTAAAATTTTTTTTCCCTAAAAGATTGTCATTTACCACATTGGCCTTGGTCCTTGATATGTGTTACAGCTCCTTTCTTTCTCCAGTCCATAGTAGATGGCACTGCAGTCACATTTTCATACTTGAAGGAAACTGCCTCTGTAGAGCAAACACGCCTCTTGAGTTTGTAGCGTGCTTTGAACTCTTTTATTTGTGAGGTCCACAAATTGATTGACACCAAGCTTGTAAGGCTTATTGGTGGCTTTGTTAAATGATTCTATTCTTTCTACATTTTCCTTGAATATTTTGAACCGATTGTCTTTTTCATCACTATCTTTGTATACACGACCATATTGAGCCATCCACTGCTCGTGCCTCTCATAGATTGATGCATCCTGAAGAGATCGAGATGTTGCTTGAGAAATCAAAACCCCAAAAATGAAGACCAAGATTAAAATTCTATTGCTCCAATTTTATTTTTGATATATAGCATTTAATTAATCTTTATACTTTGCGTGAACAACAAACTATAAGTGCAATTAGTCATGAAAAGTGGTATTTAATTATATTTGTTTAGTATGGAGTTTGATATTTTCTTTTTGGATTGAACTGATTCCCCTTACCATTTTATTAAACCATGTGAAGTGCTTTATAGCCCATTCACCCCTGAATGGCCATTTTGTTGTTGCCATTAGAAAAGAATATGAGCATAATTTTCATTATGTGACAGATATGCAAGGTCGACTCGAGGTAGTTTAAGGCCTAAAACTACAACTTTAAATAAGGCATTTTGGCATTTTTCACATAAATTTTACTTTTCTCGCATTCCCCATTCTTCCCCTTCCCCATGCATCAATTATATTATTGTTCTAGCAATACAAAAAGTAAAATTCTTGAAAAGATTAGGTCAAGAAACACAAATCTCTACAAAGAAATTAATCAATTCATATTCATAAATCTAATTCAAATAATTTGGATTGCACCACTAATCATTAGACAAGTGTCCTACACAAAGAAAATGTACTCTCCAGTTAAAACTCTATCTAAATCTCCTAATGATATGAATATTAGCTAATCAAATAATATAATAAATAATAAAAATAAATAAAATTATAATCTTCAATTTTATGTCTATCCAATCCCTTTAGGATCCCTATCAATAATCTTTCTCTATAATTCAGTATGTTTTTGAGAAGTCTATATAATTTAGTATATTTATGGGCCTAACCTTGTATTTTTTTTCTTTGGACTTGGGTTTTAGGAGACTGTTTTTTTGTGAAAAAGTTTTTAAGAAGTCTGTATCCTAACGAGATGGCTTGCATCATAAGATTAAAACCACTGTAATACAAATTACAGAGTTGTAATTTAGTCGTGTACTATTGAGTTCTGACTGGATTGTATTAGTGAAGGTTCTAGTCAAGCACTAACTAACATAAAATCAACAATTTAAGTATAACTTAACCAGTTTATTATCATGTTGTGTTTGGGTTGAGTCGTATAACCAGTGAATTAAAAATCAAAAAAAAGTTAAGACTCCATTATCAGTTAATCAAACCTATCATAATTTTCCATTAACTAAAAAGTCACTAATTATATATAACTGTAAATCTATTTTTATATTACTAATAAAAGTCTCTTAGATGAAATTTTTTTGAATTCCTTTTTTGTCCTTAAACAAAATTATAAAAACAATTATAGCTCACACTAATAATTTAATCTAAATATAAAAATTTTTTGAATTTCTATATTATCTTTAAATAAATATATGAAGATATTTATGACTTAAATCATAAAAATTTGACATTTTGTTTCTTGGCATGAACTTTGTCAATTTGTCAATAGATTCCTAACTAACTCCTCTTCCTATTGATCTTTGATTAGCTCCACTTTAGTTTTGTTAAGAGTTCTCTTTTTGGACCGGACCCATTTTTAGACTGTCTCCTGAAACACCTGTTTATCCTGCATGTGCTTTGGCCCCCCCCCCCCCCCCCCC